ACTATTTAGGATTACAGGATTAGGATCTAGCTATGTTTATATATGCATAGAATGCAGGCAGCAATTGCCTGAATCATTGTTGCCTGGGATCCACAGCTACAGCAATACCACCCGGGTACATTAGGTACTTAAGGACCTGCAGATACGCCAACCCCTCTATCGGTGTGGCTCGTGCAATTCGAGAAATATTCCTTGCCCCGCGCTATGAATGACTCAAAAGTCTCTCCTGCACGCAACGAGATTGGTCGCAAAAAAGGAAAAGAGCTTCTTTAAGGGAAGCTTGGGTTTTCCCACAATTCTTTCTCTAAGCCCGAGGCTCACGTGCAATTTTCAGAATTCATTTAATGAGAAAGCTTATACACTGGTTCCGTAGTTTTCTTAAAGCGCGGCGTGACCGTGATTCCGTTCTCGGTGAGCCAGGAAGCACAAGCGTCACTATGTCAACATCTCAAAATGAGCCGCCTGCAGAGGCCACCCCCCAGCCAGCTCAGCCAGCTCAGCAAGTTCAGGAAGCTATAAAGCCCGAGAAAGCCCAGGCATCTACACAAAATAATAAGAGCACGAAGGGCGAGGCAGCTGAAGTTGCAAAACCGCAAAAACCCTCGGGCGCGGAATTAAAGGCCAAAGCTAAAGCAGAGAAGGCTGCAAGACGTGCCCAGGCAAAGGTGTCAAAAGAGGTCGTTAAGGGGGAAGCTGCCGTATCAACTCCCGGCCAATTAGGTCCATCTGCGGGTGAAGTGAAAGGTGGCAAAGCAAAGGGCAAGCAGGATGGTGGCGCAACGACTGCCTCAGGAGCGGCAGGAAGGCCAATAGTGTCTAAGGGACCTGTGCCTGTTGTTCTATCCGAGCCAAAGTTTACGATACCCGAATGCTTTAGTCATCTGTCGATGGCTAAGAGAATCCCGATAACTCAAGCAGACAAAGATGTCCATCCAACTGTTTTGGCACTGGGCCAGCAAATGGCCACATTCACAATTGATGAGAGCATCACGAGACTAAAAGCAACCCTTTTGGCCTTTAAAAAGGTATTTTAGTCGATTGTGATAACACCAAGTTTATACCTATGCTAATAATGAAATAGGTCATCAATTCATACACTACCCCCCCTGGCAACACTCTCGCGAGACATTTAACACCTCATGTATTGAATCCTCAGATTGACTACCTTACAGCATGTCGGCCGATGTGCTTTTCTATGGGAAATGCTATCCGTTGGCTTAAATTGCAGGTTAGCAAGATCGATCCTGATGTTCCTGAAGCAGAGGCGAAGAAGCAGCTATGCAGCAGCATAGATACCTTCATACAAGAACGGATTAGCATGGCTGATCTCGTCATAACTGAGAAGACTTCGGAGAAGATTCAAGATGGCGACGTTGTACTGACGTTTGGACGGAGCACTCTTGTTGAACAAGCCCTCCTCCAGGCTTACACCATCACTCGGAGGAAGTTTACAGTTACTGTTCTCGATGACCCGTATGAGAGAAAGGGACAGACACTAGCGAAGAATCTGACTGCTGCGGGAATAAGAGTGTCTTACTGCGGTGATTTTGGTGGACTGAGATGCTATTTACAAGGCGTCACGAAAGTTATAGTTGCTGCCGAGTCCATGTTTAATAATGGATCTATGTATGCACGATCAGGTACTTGCGACCTTGCGATTGCCGCAAAGCAGCTGGATTTACCTGTTATTGTCCTCTGCGAGACAGTCAACATTACCGAGCGAGTCTCAACGGACTCTCTTACGTACAACGAGATTGACCCTGAGCGAAGTTCAAGCGCCTCTTTCAGACTGTTATATGACACTACACCAGACAAGTACCTGTCACTCGTCATCTCAGAGCTAGGAACGGTGCAGCCAACTTCAGTGCCAGACTTACTGCGAAAACTCGAAGAGTCCAACTAGAAGGGGGGCCCAAGAGAATCGAGGTATTTAGATAATAGGGCGGACTCGGGCTGAATCTTTCAACCTACTTGGAGATTTTAATGATATGTCCAGGCTCCTAAGTAGTACCCATAACTGGGTAGAAAATACAAGATCGTTAAACACATGAAATATTGTGTCTGCATCCATAAGCGAAAAACATGTTGATTTGCTCTTGATTGTTGACCCTTTATTCCGTAGCCTCTATATGTATATTGAACCGAGTATTCGAGATAGGGTACTTTTCACGCGGTTGCTGCCGCCGCATCCCTTGCAGCCTTCCGTGCTCTCTTCTCTAGAATAGACTGTTTCCGCGCCTCTAGGATTGCCGATTGCCTCTCGTCAACACCCTGTAACCAGTATCCGAAGCTTGCGCCGACTCCGGCAAAGACCGGCCAAGCCCATAGGGAACCCCTGTTGAAGAAAGGTCGCATCTCGAGGCCGAGTTGCCAGAAGCGGACGGCAATGCCTATATTAGTAGGTCAGCCATAATTCACTCGGTGGAGAGTTCGCTCTCTGATCTCTGAAGTCATACCGAAGCCTCCCCAGAAAACGACTCGATGCACCATTGCGAATGTTCGGAGCCGAGTGTTGCCTCAATTGGCTGGTCTCGTAGTTTATTTCGTATAGTAGAAGCGCTCTACTTGGCCTGAAGTAGCGGTAGGCCTGCCTAGGTGGTGGAGGGTTGATATGGCGGCTGCCGACGATACTAAACACTGACACACTGACGTGAAGTTCATTCGGGTTGTGAATTGGAGCCTCCAATCAAACAAGGCGGAAACTAAGCTTACGCACAGACCAGGTAAGAACAAAAAGAACTGGAACGGAATGCGCAATTGTGTAATCCGTAAGTCCCTTATCCCTTATCCCTTATCCCTTATCAGATAAGTTAGGTACCTAGGTACTACCTGCCCAAAGGCTGCCAAGTCTAATCTCCAGGGTCTAGTCAACTTTCCGACCTTCACCAATTTAATCATTCGTGTTTCTTCGATCCATAGTTCGCCGGTCTTTCTTTCTCCTAATAGCATTTTATTGCCCATCATCTAGGAAAATCGTGATAATAGACTTGATTCACCTCTGAATCAGATTCACATGCTCGTTCCTCCCCTCGAATAAATACTCGCGAGGCCAGATGGCCTCCGCGGCCACGACCATGGCTTCCGCCGAGCAAACGACTGTCCCAGCTACTAGCACTACGACTCTCGCGCCCCGAAAATTCAAGGCTTCGGATCTACCTCTGCCATCTGCTACGCGATCTGCAATCGAGGGATTGGCCCATAGCTTTAAAAAGAAGGGCGGTTACGATGCAATTCGCAAACAAATCTGGGAGAAGTTCGAGCAGAGCGTGAGTAGTTACGACTAGTTATCTACGGCGCAATACTATATAACTACTTGATCTCGTATACTAATTACCATGTCTGAATAGGACTACGAGGCTCAGGTCACCAAATCTATCCTCGAAGTCGCCGAGCAAGAACTCGAGCGTAATCCGTCGCAACTTCTAACCCTTGACCGCCGAAAGGCTGCTGCCCTTATTGATGGTGCTCTCGACCGTTCCGGTGTCTACCAAAAAGCCGAGGAGGTTCTCGACCAGCTGATCGATGTAGAGGCTATCGAGACGCGCATGCGTGAACTACGTCAAGCTGAAATCGGCCTCGAGGCAGCTAAGGAAGAGCAAGAACGCGGCTCCAAAACGGATGCAGAGTACGCCGCCGAATCAGCTCGTAGCCTAGATGAACGTGACCGTATTCGACGAGAGCTTAGGGCGAAGGAAGAGCAGATCTTAGAGGAGAAACGTAAGATCGAGCGAGAGGAACGCAAGAAGAGGGAGCGTGAGAGAGAACGTGAACTAGAAAAAGCCGAAGCTAAGCGCAAGGAGGAGCGAGATGCTCGAAGGCGCGAACGCGAAAAGAAAGAAGCAGAGCGCGAGCGTGAAAGGGAGAAGGAGAGAGAGGAACGTCGGCGCGCTAGAGAGCGAGATAGAGAAAAGGACCACGACCGACGCAGATCCAGAACCAGATCAAGACATAGATCCCGGGACAGATCACGGCATCGCGACAGGAACCGCGAGGGAGATCGTGATCGAGACCGCGATCGTAGCCGTCGTCGGGATAGCCGCGAACGGCGACACCGCGAGCGGTCCCCTAGGGACGAACGTGAACGTGGAAAGCCGGAGGAACTCAAGAAACAGCTTACTAAAGAGGACCATGAGAGGCTTGAGAGGGAAGCGCTCGAAAATCTTTTACGGGAAAGCAAAAAGAGTACTGCTAAACAACCCGAACTCGAGGTTGATGAGGCCCTCGTACCGCCTCCTCGAAGGATTAAACCAGCTTCCGCCATACAACCTATACGTCGTGACTCGATTAAGAATTCAGATACAAAGAAGACACCCGAGCTTACGAAGTCGGAATCCAAAGATTCGGCAAAGGAGACTGCGGACGCAAAGGAGGGGAAGGAAACGAAGACATCTAAGGAATCTAAAGAAGCCGAGCCTAAAGAGACCAAGGAAAACAAGGAAAGCAAGGAAAGCAAGGAGTCCAAAGATACCAAGAGTAAAGAGGAGAGACGACCTAGCCCAGCCCCTTCTCGACACCATCGTGATCGATCACGTGGCACAGACGATGACCGAAGACGCCGCGATCGCGACCGTGTTAGAGAACGCAGTCGATCTCATGCTAGATCTGACCGAAGGGAACGGAGCAGATCAAAACACCGACCAGATCGTCGAGAACGTAGCCGTTCTAGAGATCGTGACCGGATTATGGAGAGAGATAGGGACTTTTACCGTCCGGGGCAACGAGATAGAAGTCGTTCTCGTGCGCGACCTCACCGCGACAGGCACGAAAGGAGTCGTTCACGAGATAGGTACAAACCCGACCGTAGAGAGCGAAGTCGTTCTCGGCGGCCTAGAGACGATCGAGACAAACGCGACCGGAGTCGCTCACGTGCCCGTCCTGAGAAACGGGACGATCGCCGAGAAAGGTCGCGCTCACCTAAGCCTAGAGCCGAAAAACCTCGGTCGCGTCCACCCCGGAGTCGATCCCGTTCTCGGCCAGCTACTGCTAGTAAGCCTGAACTTACCGATGCCGAAGCCTGGAAGCAAGGAGAAATCAAGAAACGCGAGCAGGAAGCGAAGGCTTATTTGGCAGCGCAGCGCGCGGCTCGCGAGAAGGGTCTGCCTATCCCTGGTGTCGACGATAAATGGAGTACTGGAGAGCGCTCACCCGAGGCTAAGAGAGCCCGTGTCCCTGATGAGATTGACCGGTATAGGCCTGGCGATCGCGACCGAACCGACAAGTATCGCGAGCGAGATAGAGATGATCGTCGAGACAAAGAGAAGGAGCGCGACAAGGATGATCGACGAGAGCGGCGACGTAGTCGAAGTAAGAGTCGTAGTCGCCGCGAAAGGGATAAAAGCCAAGATCGCGAGCGTCACCGGTCTCGTGATAGATACCGTGGGGAGGGAACTCGGGATAGAGATCGCGATCAAGACCGTGATCGTGACAAGTATCGCGAAAGAGACCGTGACCGCGAAACAGACCGCAATAGAGATCGCGACGGAGATAGGGATAAGCGCAGCCGTCGTGACAGAAGTAATGAATCACGACGCGACAAAGGCCGGGACCGGAGGGATAGGAGCATCGAGTCTAGGCGGGATAGGAGAGATCAAAGTCGCAGTCGCCGACGAAGCCGCAGCCCTCGTTAGTCACAGGGCCAGCCATTATTTCACAATTTAGTAGTATTGCGAGATACAGTCCGTCGTTATCCTATCCGGGACCAGGCGCAGTAATTACTAAGGCGGATGGATTTCGACTACATGTACTATTAGCGCTATAGGAGAGGATAGGTATCGGACCAGTCGGCATAGGTTATTTTCGCACAGCGGTGGTGCGTCTGATTCTAATTTGGAGGGGGTTTGAGACCGAGTTACTTGGACGTCACGGACTACAAAAAGCTATACCCCTGGAACTTTGCTAGGCGTTGAAGGTTTTGCTATCTCGATAGGTGTAGCACAAGTCACAATCTGGAAAAGCTAGTTGATAGCTGGTTGATAGCAGGGGATACTAAGTAATGGAGTCGTTTCATGTCTGACCGTTCTTCTACTCTTTATTCACGTATTGCGTAGTATCTTCATTCGCATATAGCACTGTGTAATCAGCCACATCGGCGTCGGTGTCAATGTAATGGAAGCGCATAAACTGGCGGTTGTTGATACTGGTTCGTCTAAAGATAGGCATCAAGATAATAATGCACCGCGCAACGCAATGCGCTTGCCGAAACAAGCCCCTGGAGGATCCGCGCTTACGAAGGATGTCAAGAACTCGCTAATGTACCGGATGTAGGAGAGGATAAGCTTTCCGTAGAATATGGTTGCATAAAGTACCTGTTGATTGCATTTTCTTGAGTCTATTTCCGATAGTTAGAGAATCTTCAAATCTTAAGTTAGGGGTGTGGCTTATTATTAACGGAGAAGGAGGAGGAGAGTAATATGAGGAGGTCAATTATAATATTGCCAAGAGACCGAACCAGGTGACGATGATACAGCGAAAGGGAGAGTGCGATACAAGGGTTTCCGGGTCGGGTGAGATCTCCAGCGTTATGAAAATACCTAGTCTCAGCGTCGTCATTAGAGGCTTGAGGTTGGCAAGGGGTATGTAGCTGCGAAAGAAGCATTGTTGGAATACTTAGTTAATGGAAACAATTTGGAAGTTTCCCGCCACCTATAGAATTGAATTGATGTACCTAAGGTAGGTATTGCGTCAAATTCACTAATGAACTGTGACATAATATCGTATTATACAATGCATTTACCGTGCATTTACCTACCTAATTGACAATAATAAGGAAGTATCGTACCAAGACGTGCCTTACATATGTACTTCCTGGACCCATCTTGTGACGCGCACATCTTTTTAGGCAAGGTACCGAAATGCAGGTGTCACAAGCCACAGGTTCCCAGTCAGCCAGCTCAGATTTTCCCCATCGTAGGGCGGAGTAATGGAGGTTATCTAGGTTAAGGTACCTACCTATGTAAGGTAGTTGCACTTTTGCATGTTGTAACTGACATGTACGTACCTCTAACCCGGGTAGGTACGGTTCCAAGATACCAACCTGAACTAGAGAGCTGCGATCATTCCGTCTTCTTTTCTCGTCCATTCTTATTCTCCCATTTTTCCTCCGCTCTTGCGATACGCTGTTACCTGCGAGGCAGGACATATTCATTTCTTTCCTTTCTATCAACTCCATATTCTGTTCAATCAGTCAATCCATTCAAGTCGAAATCGCCGCACTAAACAATACCAACATTATCGACCTAGCCCGTCTTATCAATTAAATTAGGCGTTATTACGACCAGTGCGGTGTGTCAGTAATAGTACGACGACACACGACACTTTTGAGACCCGACACCGATAACCCATACCCATTTCAAGGATCAGGAACCAATATACCTCCTCAATCGACCCTCAACCCTCCACAGCCACCCTTTTCCATTACAAACGAGAACTTTACTGCTTAGACTTGTCTTTCGGAACCCGAGGGAATTTATTCATTTTTTGGTGCTCTCCTTTTTTCATTTGTCTCTTTTTAGCTGCTGCATCGAGGTACTTCATCCTCGACAATTCCACATCCGAATGCTCGAGATTCGACGGTGAGGGAAAACGTCCCCCAGTCTAAAATATATACCCCCTCATATTGCCACCGACCGATAAACTACCTCCAACATGGCGAGCCTAGACGGCATCCTAATCGGAATTTTATCGTCCTTTGGTTCCGCCATCCTAATAGCCCTGATTTTCCTAGTCGTATACTTCTTCAGATACACAACTTCTGGTCGCATCTTTCTTGGCCGGATCGGTCGGCCTGGCGAATATGACGATGAGCAGGCATTTGCTAGGGAGGAGGCGGAGGCCCTGGAGGTGATGGATGATATGCAAAGGGTAGAGTACCTAAGAGCAAAAGGTAAATACCTTACGAATCAACAGCGCCCGTGTATTTCCTTATCGTGAAGGATGGTACGTTAACAATGATGTAGCGTTTATCCAAGCGAATCCGCCCGAGTCGCTTCAAACAGACATTTCTTTATCACAATACCTGGCCATACAAGAAAAGGGAGTTTCAGCGTGGGAGTTCGAGCCGGAGCTGGAAATCGCCAACTGCTTCGTTGAAGCGAGAACCGAGATTGAGTTCTTCGATTCTGAATGCACAGTCATGAGCAATCTACCCGTACCAAAGCAGAACGAAGTCTACTACTGGGAAGCCAAGATCTACGATAAACCCGAAACCACATTGATTAGCATCGGCATGAGCACGAAACCTTACCCTCTATTCCGACTTCCAGGTATGCAGCTTCATTCGGGTTGACTCTGCGTATCCTGAAACTAACCTTTATCACACAGGCTTCCATAAATATTCCATCGCATATACTTCCATCGGTGCTCGACGGTACAATCAGCCCTTCAACGCAACTGCTTACGGGCCTCAATATGTTCAAGGCGACGTTATCGGAGTTGGCTATCGTCCAAGGACAGGGACTATTTTCTTTACCCGTAACGGCAAGCGATTAGACGACGTAGCTCATGGCCTGAAGTCTCAAAACTTCTTCCCATCTGTTGGCGCGAATGGACCGTGTACCGTACACGTCAACTTTGGTCAGGCCGGCTTCGTATTTATCGAGGCGAACGTGAAGAAATGGGGACTTGCTCCGATAACCGGCAGTCTGGCACCGCCGCCACCATATGGAAGCGAACAAGGAAGCATCTTACTCGAGACTGGACGCAGGAAAGACGAGCAGCCCGGATCGCCGTCGAGGGGTCACGGTTATACACAGTCGGTTCAGCGGTACACTAATAGTGGCCCAGGTTTAAACCCAGGACATGGGCGGACAAGGAGTGGCAACTTTAGAGTACTTCCGCCTACGAGTCCAGGACCACAAAGAAGTCCTACTGATATTTCCCTCGCGCAGCTGGTTCCTTCGGATGAAGCGGGCGAAGCCAGCAACGCTATCAACGCTGGCGGGGACCAAGTTGTCGACGTCGTTGGATTAGGTCTACATGAAGCATCACACCCACCACCCGAGTATACTAGTCCGGAACACTCGGACGAGGATAGCTCGGGCTCCGATAGTGATCACGTCCCACTGATCAGATCAGGTCGCAGCCGCGGGGCATCCGCAGCCACCATAAGACCGAGCAACCCCCCGATTCCTAGCTACAGTGACGCCGTTCGACAAGGTGCTGGTAGGGACAGGAGCCGCAGCGACAGCGCCATGCCTAGACGGGATGGCATGTAAAGTGGTTAAGCCGTCCATGAACCTAGAGTAGCGAAAAACCTAGAGTAGCGAAAAATGATTTATCACTCAGCGCGGAACAGGGGAGTTTACGGTCAGGAAAGGGAACAACACACTTTTTTGCTTCGCGTTTGCGCCGCAACTTGTTTTTGGGCTACGACAAACATCGGCATTGGGTCAGGTGACACTACTTACATGATACCTCAAGAGAAAGTTTTTTAGGTCATTTTTTTTCGCATTGTTTAGCGGCATGGTTGAGGGATGGAATGGGAGGGTTTATTACCTAGGTTTTTGGTTGTTTTTTTTGTTGGCTTCTTGTCTCTCCCATGGGAATCGAAAAAAAATCAAAGTACCAAACAGGGCTGGAACTACTAGAACTACTACTACTACCTGACCTGCTCCAGACAGGAATAGCGGATTGGGGATGGAGATGGATTAGGTACCTGACATGTCACATACTAGGAACAATAAGAAGAATATATCAAGGTGATATAAGCGTGCTTGCCATTACGATATTCGATATTCTTGTGTCTGGTTAGAAATGCGGGTTCGATTTGCGTGAAGCTAAGAGGTGGTGTTAAGATCGTGATTAGGGGCTTGACTAATAGGAGCTGAAAATAAGCCTATAGAAATTGGAGCCTTGCTCATACATACCTATGCCCGAGTTTACGAGGGGTTATTGTGTCGAATTTTTTCCATGGCCCAAATAGGAAAGTAACTCAATGGGCAGTATATGGCCGGTGCGCAATTATGTAAACTCGGGCATATTGTGCAGCCCGCAGGGCTGCCTCCAGTGCAGGTAGGTACTCCCATTTCCATGGTATGTATACCTAGTTAAAGGCCGTATGGTTATCTATATAACTTAGGGGTTATAGTTAAGTCGGAAATTGCATTCCTAGGATTTAGTTGCAAGACTGGAAAGAAAGCATGGCCTTAATTGCAACATAGCTACCTGTTAGCTTAGCATAGTTACCTAGTCTTAAGTACCTACTCCTATATACGTGCTCTTTACATCTACTACTCCAAGCAGTTAATACTAAGAATATCGACTTGATAGCTTCATCTCGTGTTTCCTTCCTCGTAGCTTCTTTGGAATACAGACTGTCTGTTGTATACTTCCCGTTTCATACTTCGTGGGTTATAGGTAACAAGAACATGTAGTTACGTCTTGGAGTCTAGAAGAGACCGACTTGTTTGCGTTATTCTAAAACATCGCAGATTCAAAGTCCATTCCATTATACTTGGTGTAGGAATGTCTAGAATAGACGATAACTAATGAAGGAAGTAGGCTTCTGAATAGGTATTGGATATGTAGGTAGCTATCCTCGAAGACGAGTAGTTGTTGATTGCTTCCTTACGAAGCTAGTAAGAAATAACATTGTATCCGTAGGCTGTATGTTAATTGTCTTGCGGATGGTCTTGAATGTTCGCAAAGTTTGTTGAGCCCCTTAGCAAGACCGAGGCTCAAAGGGGCCAGGGAAAGGTTTCCTCAACATTAAACTCCACCACCTTATCCTTCTCTAGGATGTTCTCCCCGAAAACGCTGTTCTATCCCGCAAGGGGTACTATATGGTCATTCAAAAAATTAAACATTGCAGAAAGTTTAGTAATGCAGTTGTTCAATGTTTAAGGTATCTCCCCCGGGGTAGTTTTCGTGCTTCGTTGGTGGTAGTGAACAAGAGATCCGCTATTAGAGTCGGTGTCGGTAACGATATTAGGACATAATAAGTATAGGCAAAATATTCTCTTAGATTCTCTATTCACTACCTTGCTTATGTTTTAGAGACTTCTCATAAAAGTTAAATTACAGTACGGGATAGTTACGCAGTTGTAGTTTGGCGGTTAATATGTGAGGGAAATAGAAATTTTACGAGAGGACCAGGTATCATTATGTTTACTAAGAACTTCAGTGCCGGGAAGTATAAGGCTTCAATTATGTACTGCTAACAATATTAGATGGTGTGTGTCAGAGATTGAGCTTTTAGTCAAATATCATAAGGTAGATTTATATTCAGCCATTACGATCTTAACGGCGTAAGGGCTGAGTGGTAAACTGTAACCGATATCACTTATATATTAAGGTATTAGTGGTAGATTTTGCCTCCTCGTACCCAGAGTAAAGATCTATTTGTACCTGTTGCTTAATGTTTCACTCTTCATTAACACGCGCTCGGAATGCATTTTATGTATTGAAGTTGTAAATGAAGAAAGTATTATACTATGTAGCGCCACATCTATATATTTCTCTGTCTCGGCGCCGTAAATATCATGATTTGGTTGCAGGAACATCTAAACATGACTGACAATTAGGGAATTTATCAAAATTTCTCCCCCAATAGGAGATACATAAAATAAGGAACAAAGATAGCCATCCTTTCATAATATCTTATTATCCACTTGGAGCATCGAGTTCACGACAATAAGGACATATGAATGTTATCAAATTCTCAGTATATCGCTACTAGTCTCACCTCGACACTTTCTCTCAATGGGCCTTGCGCCATAGTATTGTTAACAGCTGCATGGAATCCACCTGGTACTTCAAATTAGCAACGTTACAATGTCTTTTATTTGTATTTTCTACTTGGTAATTTCTACGTACGTGCTTTTTCGCCGTGAGAATCAGCGTTGCGGAACATAAGGGGGTCATCAACCCCCTAATTCTTCAAGTAGTACCACTTGTGGGCCTCGTTAGAGTGTAGAACACAATTCTCTTCCACCTTGTCGTGGCGTATAGCGTCGTTGAGTAGGATATCGTTCTCCGGGTCAATAGTCGCGTAATCGCAGAAAGCGAGGGGCCAATCATTTGTCGGTTCCCTTAGGCGTCGCCAGACGCTGTAAGCGAGCGATTATTAGCAAGGTATGATAAAAACGATGCCAGATAGTACTGTTTTGTAGCCTACTTCAATATCTCGAATTTCTTATATTTACAGAATCCTTCATTTCCGGGGAAGCACCACTCGAGAACTGTAGTGGCGCCCTGCTGGGACCAGTCGTAGTGAGCAATGGCGGACGGTTGTTCGTATTTATTACGATACACCCGAAGTACTTTTGGAAAGTCGGTAACCCTCTTTCTCACCTTTCACAGACGGTTCACAAATCTCGTTAGCAGGCTTTAGAGAGTCGGCAGAGGAATATTCTGTTCTACACACAGTGAGATCAAACGCCTCGATCCTCGAATTTTGAGGGAAGTTTTTGTGCAGAATAGCTTCGATCTCATGCCAGTAAGCATCTTGCACGGCCTTCTTATTAATAGAGGCTAAGTCAGGATCAAGGTGAGTGCTACCACGCACAACGCAGAAACCGTGAACGTCGAGCTTGAAGTCATCGGGGTTCTCGATAGCGGTCACTGTCACGGGGCGATGATTAGGCTGGGTATTTCCCCTACGTGTCACGAGGTGGAACTAAACAGTATGGTAACAACTTCGTTGTTCCGCGAGGAACTCTAACCTAGCTACGGGGATCTATGTCTATACATACTGAACATGTCCTTTGTTCTTGATGTCTCATTTAGAATCCTGACACCAGGTAAAGTTAACTTTGATCACAATAACCCTCTAATCAGCCCAGTGACGGGGAAGTCGGTACGAACTTGGTATAAGCCAGGGGAAACCTGGAATGGTGTCTTCGGGAAATTGGCGCCGGCGATGGAAGAGTGTAGAGCTTTTCTAATTGCAAGTTATCTGGCATGTCACAACGACGTCCTCTCCTGGTGTGGATATGATCGGAATAGTAGTATAAGCCAAGATGATTGTGAGTGTTCCAATATCATGGCCTTATACAGATTCAACTAGTTGACACGGCTAAGTCCACTATTACACATACCTCGAGATTGGGGTTGAGGGTCTCAGCGCTCTTCGTAGCTTTAAAGTAGAGGACCAGACCTGGGGGAATGACCATGACCAAGTGAGCCTATACACTGACGTAAAGGTTCCTACAAAGCTGAAAGCCAACCTCACCAAAAGGCGAAATTCGCAATCCTCAAGCATCTCCTTCAAGATAGCGACAAGACCATATGGGTAGAACACGACCCTGCCTCCAAAACCCTCTTCGTCCATCTCGACCGGTCTAAAGTCTTCTCCCACGGTCTACCCTCGCTTTCGCGCATGATGACCCAGATCCACGTCTGGCACTGCACGGCTGACATCGATTCCTACCAGCCGGCCCGTATACGAAGCGCTGAGCGCCGTCGACGGCGAATACGAAAGCTGGCGGCAAATCGTCGCGTCGAATCCATAGCCGAAGTGGAAGTTCGTACAGCCCAACACCTTCCTGAGAGACGATGGCACGGTCGAGCTGAGGGAACATCCGGCGAGTAACGAGGGTATCATCCAATCGTTTTTCGAGAGGGGACTTTGAGAAATGGAACATGTTTTACTATGTACAGGATATGCATGGGTGGATGTGGACGCGCTGGACTTTAAATTAAGGGACGGGTAGCGAACGAGGCTCGATCCGAGATACTTCCGGATAGGAACATTCTTTAATAAATACCATGTATTTCCAAACGTTCATTATTTTATATTGATAATACATTCATTCTTTACAAACCTATGTATTCAAGGCTATTATAACTTCTTATCGGATCGGATTTGCCCCGAATAATACCCGCTTCTATGTATTAAAACAAAAGTTACTCGTCTACATAGAAATAAGTGACTCGAAATGGCGTTGTTAAAAAGCGACATGTCAATTTCTACTTCAAGGTCCAAGCGCCTGGCTGGATCTTTAAAGACCGTTTGCCTCATATGTTATTAATTACTACGTTACTTGCCTATGTATATATTAAAATTGACCGAAGTTGGGATACATTATAGCTTTTAAGAAGGGACCTTAGCAGCTGTATGTTTAGGTAGTATTTCAGCTAGCAATCTATCTTAGGTCCGAATTCGACAGTCGCCTATGTATGTTAAAATCGGCATTCACGAGGACAATTCACGAGATTTCAATGGCTAGTCAACCAACCAGCCCGGTCTAAAATTCACGATACGTCGTATAGCTTCAAGCCAAATCGGACCGCACACACGCAACTCGAGAGCTGAATCGAATACCTAGGTTACTAATATACCTACCTAAAGTTACCAATACGCAGTAGGTAAGTATATTATACGAGGAGAAGACGACGAGGAAGTATGTATGTACAAGATGGTCATGTGATATAACCCGATAACAATGCCATCAGCAAACAACATGGGACATTTATAAAAACAGACCTTAATTATTTATCGTACCGGTGGAATGGTTGTGGCTGAGTCGGTCACTTGCATTGCTTACCCGACAGCGACTCGATCCCGGTTTTCCATTGGCCGCTTAGGGACCATGTAACCACAATCCCATCAACTATCGGCCCGTCGGACGCCATGCCGCTGGCCACAGCCACCCGGTTGAGATCCTTTTGTTTTGCCTCTGATCTGTCATCGCTTGGGTAATACGACAGCAGCGACCAGTGACAAGTTTCGCCCGCACGTGGGTTTCCGAGTTTGACCTGGGGGCGCTTTTTTTTTCCGGCTGGAATTGTATGACTTCTTGTTCCTGTTGCTGCTGCTGCTGCTGCTGCCTGTGTTCGGTAAGTAAGAAGAAGAATGTCGAGGAGCGGCACGACAAACGAGGCACCCTCGCACAGGAGATGCTACCTTAGGTGCCTAAGCTTCTTTCCCGTCTCGAGCTCGAGGCTCAATCTTCTAAAATGAAATACGCGGTATTATAGGTAGGTGCCTAGCAAGGCAGACTTTCACAGAGAGTGACGAGTGCGGCTCGATTGAGTTTGGGTATATGGAAACGTGGTGAAAGGGGTAACACAAGGAGGCGTCCGGCGACGCCATGCCGTCATACGGCTGAGATATCATCCGCTATGTTCCGCCGCGGGGCATGCCGGTTCTAGATCCCGTATCCCTGCCGTCTCTTTTGTTTCTACGCTAGGGGTCAAGCGGGCTTCTATCATTCGATGAGGTTGCCTTACTTAGGCTACTGTTGTTGTTGAGGCTGAGTCCCACGATGCTCGGTGTGTTTTCGAGGCAATATCTCCCAATTCGAGGGATGAAACGGCGTATCGTGACTCAGTTTGAGATACGATAGCGTCGTCGTAGTTACGATGCACGTTTCACACTCGGACAGAAGGATAGGTGTGCGGAATACAACCGTGATTACGTCGTTAATTAGGCAGCGTACTATTCAGCGGTGACTCAGCTAGTTTGGTTTGATGTTTTTTATGTCTTTTCAGAGCATAGTGGTATTGAAGTTTGAGTAGGTGTGTGTTTAGAGTTGTTCAGAACACGAAGAGCTAAGATAATATGAGACACCACTAATAGGCTTAGGTACCTAGTTTATTTATTATGAGAGGTGTTGAATGAAAAGACAATTTTAAGTAGCCTAATATAAACAAGTCGCGGGTTGTGAGAATGGTAATTCGCAACGACACGGCTTCGTTTTATGAACTAGTTAGCTATCTCCTTTTCACTATAATTTGGAAGCTTCAAGGTACACACAATCGAGGCAGAGTTGCATGTAGCACAGATTGTTAAATGTGGATCACATTAGAACTAGTAATTCAAGGACTTGGTATTATTAATTGTTCGATAGGTTGCTTAGTGATAACTACCTCCTATATATATATCTTTATTACCAAGTGTTTCTAATCCAAGTCAACACCCTATTGTTTAACTTAAGTGATCAATTCGCTCCATATCTATAAATATATAAATTCTGATCTCAAGGCGTCATCTTGTTGGACCCCTTTTAATCATTGGCAAATATACGCTATTACCTGTCACCTTTACTATTAGCCCCTGACTCAGGGGTATTGAGCAACGATAAGCTTATACGTTCTTCAGCCGCGCGCCTTGCTAACGTTTTGGTGTTTCTGAAACAACAAAAGAGCACATATCACCGTAGGACAATGTAATTCGTAGATCTGAATTTGGCAATTGGGTACCTAAGATAGGTCTATTTGGTAATACAGATAGATGGCTGGCATATCGGAATCGGTCCTGACGTTGTACAGTACGACCCCATTTACTCCACGCGTCGTCTGTTCGAGCGCTTAAGGATGATGGGGAAATGGGATATCATGATGTGTAACAATTAATCGTACCTGCGCCCGGCGGCTTGTATTATAGTATATCAATGGCTGTTGCTTTAGCCTCGATGGCAGCTCATATCGCTCCTATGGTATTTTGTATAGCTTACTACTAGGTTAGTTTATATTGTAGAGCGGCATCATCCTAAATAATGCTAATTTGGGTTTATTCAATTTATGTGATGAGGTGCAGGTAAAAACGATTGTTACACAAAGTTGACCTCAACACTGAAAATAATCGTGTAACTAAGGTTGCCTCGTTTTATTTTGTAACTTTTAATTTACTTATCTTTCATGATTAAACTTTGGCCTGTATTGGCCATATGTCTTTTTGGCGCGCCGTTTACTTACAGCATACTCATTTAACTTCGAACTAGAATTGCCTGACCCTTATGCAGTATAACCCTATATTGATAAGAAGGATTCATTAGTAGTGAATTGGTAATGGTTAATTGTTAATTACTCTGTGCTGCTATAGAGCTAAATAGCGCTGTGCTAATTCGGGATGATATGATTTCAGAGTAACGAACGCGTGTACCTCGGTGCCGTTCCCCGACTATACGATGCAAGGCATCCTTATAATGTAACCTAGTACAAAACATGCTGCATACATAACGTTGCATTTGAGACATGCATTGCTTCTCTCTCTCTCTTTATCTTTTTCGTCGTAAGGCTCGTCTTACCTATCGGCCGCGTTCCTGCATGTACCTATATTCTACTTGCAGCAAACAGGACTTTTCATTGCCTAAATCAGACAGACCAACTCCTTTTCTATTCCTAATATGCAATCTACGTATAACCTATAACGGTCTCATGAGTTCGGTGTAACGCCACGTGGTCTTTTAGATAGTAGGATTAGGTACTTCCCGAGAAAAGCAACCTTTAATCTTCGGTTTCGGTTCGTGCCCGCGGGTTGCGCTACCATGACACCCCTCGGGGTGGCTTGCGGATGTACCGCCCTGTTTATCGTGTTCAAGTTGCGAATTCTCGGAGCTCACAGTTGAAGTCTCGAGAAGAGCGTTCTCTACGAATGAGCTGGAATTACATGTTACATGTGGCGTCCGGGCTGTGAGTGTTCTGTAGCGAATTGGGATCAGTCAGCTCTCGGAATGCGATGGTACAACGTGGAAAACCCGCGACGAAACATAATGATCTTAGTTTTACCCAGCTCTCGCGTTACGGAGGCGTAGAAAATCGAAATTCGGGAGACCTGAGCCGCAGTCCGAGCCCAGGCGGCCGAAACTCCACATTTGCGTTATTCCAGTAGAGTAGATATCTTTAACGCAGCTATGGCAATGATACTGAATTAGGAAAATGCGCCTCATTTTGTTCGTTTATAGTATATTACCCCTTTCGGGGGAGGGATTGGACCCCGGGGGACTATTAGAGACACCGAATGAAAATAATATCAGGGGGTTTCCAAGTTTGGTATCCGTAGGGCTGTCTACATCGCAGAAAATGGAGAAGCCCTCTCAGGACCCAATTGGGGGGTTCGCCAATAGATTGTCAAGTCATTGTGGAACATGCATATCTTTAGATGTATGTAGGCTGTTGGCTGTTGAAGATTTGAGATGTTAAAATTCCTACGTTTATGTAGTGACACCTGAGACCTCGTGGGGGAGGATGATATGAATCTACGGTTGCCTGATATGTCGAACAATAAATCCCAACTTGATCCAAGAACCAGAAACTCGTCAATTGTGGTGTTACGGCGTGGTAAGACGGATGTAGAGGCTGAAATTTCTATCGCTGTTGGTAAATGTTTAAAGACAATTTCCGGGACTCAGATGATAAAATAGCGATTTCTCCACTATATTCGCTAACAGCCCTATATTAAACGATATATGTGGTGGTGATGATGGGGTCCAATTACGATTGAGCTGGCCTTACGAAAGAAATGTCAAGCCTTGCGGCGACAAGTGGCAACGACATGAAACGGCCACCAACCTACATAGACATACCGAGCTCTGATAGCCGTGGGGGCCGTAACCAGATTAGCATAATGAGTACGGAGTAGATATAATAACTGATGAGATTAGAAGCTCTTAATTGGATATGAAGACACAAAGTAGGCACTGCCTACAATATTGGCGGATAGTCCGGGCCTTGACTCACTTGTTCGTCTAAAATTACTATTACTAGAATTGAGTCATGATGAGTCGCAATGATTTACAATATTATGTCTGCTGTTTACCTATCCGGGTAGATGCCATAAACGCCGACGAGCTCCGGAGTATAGAGGGGAATCGAAGTAATGTAACAACGGTGGCTCCGAACTGGCGGAAGCTGTAATGATCGGAGCAGTGCCCCTCCTGCTGTCAGGCTTGCAGAATGTCACTTACATAAGGCTATGCTGGAGAACAATCTACCCGTCGGGGATGGTGACGAAATAATGCTTATCGAAATATCCTATGTCTAGTATACGGTGCCAAAAAGCGTCAAATGTGAGAAGTGGGA